ACATAAATTCAGATAAGCGTAACTCCGCAAAGAATTGTCGCATTTGTTTTTTTTTTATTCTCAAGAATAAACTCCGAATTTAACAAGCTGTTAATGGATTTTAAATCTATCCTTATCCTTACCTAACATCTTTTCAAAAATAAGGATGTGTTTTATCTTAAGAAAAATTTAGGTAATTTGACACATAAAGCTTAATTTTTTTTTTAATTTGTAAGAGAAAAGTTCATATTCTACGACAGTTTATCACGAAATTTGCGAAAAAAAATTTACTTCATTCCGTAGAGTGCGTCAAACTATATAAATTTCTTAAGATCAAACACATCCTTATTTTTTAAAAGACACTAGATAGGGGTAAGGATAGATTCAAAATCTATTAAAAGCTTCGTAAAATACAGATTTTATCCTTGAAAATGAAAAAAACTTTTAAATGCAATTATTTTTCGGGAAATTACGCTTATTTGAATTTATGCAAAATTTTGGTATAAATTTACCTATGTGATAATTTTGTCGACGAGTGTATACACATACATACATGTATATATACATATATTGTATACATACATATAGATATGTCATATCTTGTCTTTATGTCTTTACTTGTATTATATACATGTTTCAGACCACCCGTATATCTTTTTATTTTCACAGGATAAGATCCAATCGTAAAAGTATTCAGACAAAAGTTGTGGAGTTTCAAAAGATTTATTTATCTGATCTTATTAGTTTGATCTTAGCGTTGTCAAGGTCATGTTAAGGTCATGAATTTTTTGAATGGAACTCCCCATTTTTCATTGTATATTCTTATAGCTTACCTCGAGAGCTTTTCAAAACACTATAATAAAGTTATTTTTCATGAAGTACTTTTCGAGTTATAGGACTCGAAAGTTACAGTACCGCAGGCATTAGCATTAGCATTAAGTGATCAGACTAGGCATTGGAAATTGAGATTGAGATTAAGATTGAGATTAGTAAGAATATCGGATAGCTAGAATCATACATAACAAAATATTGAATACGCATTTTAATTGCATTCACACGTTTTAATTATACTGTGATTGTACTTCTTATAATCCTTTATAACTTATTATTTTGTATACACACATACATACATTTGGTGAGATTGAGATTGAAGATTGGAAAAATAGACGGAGCCCTATATTTCAATCTGGAATTTCAATCTCGGTCTACTCTATTCTCACCTTGATTGAACGTCAATCTTAATCTCTATCTTATTCTCTAATATATAGTCTAATATATAGTCTACATAGTGACTTTACGCAAGATGTCCGATCGACGGTTATCTCTTGAATATTGTTCAGGATCATGATCTGAATAATATTTGTCAAGATCGAAGTCATTAAAGATTGTATCTCTTATTTTCATTTTTATGTAAAAATGAATTCTTAGTGCAAAAATCAAAATAAGAGATGCAACCTCCAACGACTTTAATCTGAATAACAAATGTTAATATACTGTAATTTTCGAGCTCTATAATTCAAAAAGTATTCAATGAAAAATGACTTCATTATAATGTTTTAAAAAGTTCTTGAAAGCGGCTATTAGTTACTGAAATAAAAAGTTGGGTGTTTTATTAAAGAAAATCGACGTCACCTTGACCTGACCTTGGCGACGCCACCTAAGGTCAAACTAACAAGATCAGTAAATAAATCTTTTTAAACTTCACAATTTTTGTCTGAACACTTTTACAATTTATTCTACGAAGATGAAAAGAGTGTACGGGTAATCTAAAACACCCGATGTATATATGACATTGCTTTCAGCTACTTATGGACTCTATTAACGGACGTCACCCAATTCCAATTTGATAAAAATAATAGAAACTCTGTATTTATGAATTAGTGGTATAAGGACTTTGAGAAATGTGAAATAAATAACGATAGATAATTTTGGAAGTACATGAATTGAGAGAGAAAGAGATTGAGGGAGGAGGAAGGAAGAGGAGAGGAAGAAGGGGAGAGGGGAGGAAAGAGAGATGTGGTATTGGATAATCGATTAAGGCACAGTCTAACCAGGTAGAGGAGCTTCTTCGTAAAAATCGAGCTCATCCTCAACATCGTGTTCGGATCCTTTACTATCGAGAGCACGTAGCTCCGCAGTGGTGAAGAAATGGCTCATCTGAGCGCGCAATGGTATCATCAGAATAAGGAAGAAGGGTAAGGCCAGAGCGGCTCTGGTACTTTTGACAATCCACAATACAGTTAAGCACAAGATTTGTATGAGGGTGAAAATGTGCATCTTATAGGTTTGCACACGGCGTACGTAATTTGCCGTGCCATGATGCTTGACTGGCATGAAAAACAGTTTGACGCGGTCAAATAGCTGCACGCCATTCATTGATGAAATTCCCATATAGAGAAACACACCAAGAAGAACGGACATCGGTACCCGCCGCAACAATGGTGCCATCAACACACTCACGCCTATAAGTATCGCGACCAGAAGGGCGCTTACTCTTTGCTCTTTCACTTCAACAATATGCGGCTTGTCACCAGGCGCATGAGTGCGAGACATCACGGTTAGAGCGGATACGTGAGTGAGGGAGCGCACCGACGCAGCGGAGCACCAAGGTGCACCCATCAGTCCACATCCTATATTCATCAAGCACACTACCACGATGTCCATATGATAGCCATTGCCCTTTCGCAATTTTCGCTCCTTTTTATCGATAATCAATCTACAAAATGAACGATTAATCAGAAAACGCAAATATATTTGATAATTAAGCAAGCGGTTTAATGTAATTAAATTTAAACTTACTCCGATATTTGAGTCTCCATAAAGACCAAGATGTAAACCAGCAAAGCTGGCACCGCGCAAGCTAAAGCCATCCAAAGCGGTATAGGTTTTTCATATCCGATAGGAGATACGAACCAATTTCTATTGGGCATAGTTGGGGAGAGTCCTTCGGGTACCAGCAACTTTTCCGTCTTTACCATAAGTAGATAGTCGATCAAAACAAAAACGACAATGCTAATAGGCACGCCGAAATCTCCGAAGGCTCTTCGAGCACTACGGCCTAAGTAATGGCTGTTGCGAAAGATTCTCAAGTAGTAGGCACCCAGGAAAGTGCCCAGACAAAGGATAGTACACATTAAAGCTGTATTGGGTTGATTAATTGGTAGCCTAATTCTATCATGATTCGGTAGAAGTTCGCGAACGTTTTCCAAGCGTAGAGTTTCTTCAGTTCCATTCCATGGCCATCGAGTAACCTTCATTTCAGCAACGTAGAGCGGATAAGTTATATTGTTGGTGTCCGGCCCAAAGCTGTATTCGTGAAGAAGAGGATTGCGCACGAAGTAGTTGTAAAGCTTCATAAATGTTTCAACGATATAAATGATAGAAATCAATCCAGTAAAGATCTCCTCGGTGAAGCGCGTGAAGAGTCGCACGAGAACGGAACCTTCGATACATGCGATTGCCAGGGCGATGATACCCATCCAGGCGCCAACATATACCCGTACGGTGAGAAACTCAAGCTCGTTCGCCAAGCAGAAATTGTATAAGCTCTCGTCAAAGAGCAACAGCGGACCAGTAGTGCCGATAATCAAAAGCGGTTGAGTGCCGAACAATGCCATTATCACGCCCGTCCACGAACCGGAAATAAGAGTCTCGGAAATGCCTATTACGTTTTGTGTCTTATCGCTCATCAGGCCGCCGAATGTGATGGCGCCGCACAACGCGGCGAAATACATGAAGATAGCTGCCGCGACACAAGATGAGCTCAAACCATCCTTAAAATCGGATAAATAGAAAGGGTAACGACGCTTAATGTCATTGATGAGGCCACCGAATGGTCGTTTGGTACGTCGCAATGGATCATAATCGTCTTCTGATGATTTCTTTTCCTCTTCGCCGGCGAGAAGAGCTGTTATACATATATTACATTATAGGCGATAATAATTAACTAAAAATGAAAGAACGAGATCGATAAGTAAGAATTGAAAAACAAATATTCAATTATCAAGATATTTTTTTTATCGAATTTTAAATTCTTGTTTGTCGTTGGAGAAATTACCTTTTTTTGCGGCTGCCTCATCTTGTTCCGGTTTGCTTTTCTCTTCGAGCGCCTTCGCCTTTCGTTTCCTGATAGCCTCACTCTTCGCTTTAAGCTCATCGAACGGTAGCAAAGCTTGTCTTTCCCAATTGCCAGGTGGCAATACAATTGAATCATCTAGAAACTCATTAATAGCTGAAAGCAACTCTCGTCTCTCGTTGGCTTTATAAGCGACTTTGTGGAATGTCGTGTTTGCCATCAGAGTAGAGATGGACCGGCCAATTTCGTGATAGTCCAGGTCCGCATTTCTCGGTCCTAATAAGGTAAACATAAATCTGACCGGTATTGTGACCTCCGTAATGGACGGCATAAGTACACCTTCGGCTAATCGTACAAAGGCTATCGTTGGCTGATCCAAAAAGTCGACAGCACCGACAAGTACGACTGTTGCCTCAGCACCAGCTGGGATTCTTTTGAGGATGTAATCATTGTGACCTTTCTTTAAGTCTTCGTTACTGCTCATGTACGTTAACTCTTCCTTGATATCGACCATTGTATGATTGCTGTCGAGCGCCAAGTTCGATGATACGATCTTCGGCTTCGCATCGTGTAGATTCTGTTGGATGTTTCGAAATTTTTATAGAATAATCTAAGAACTTTTTATTTCCGCCAAAGAAGGATTACATAAGTCTTCAAAAAGAAAATTCAATCAGTTATTTCTCAATATCTTGAAATCAGAACAACTTATATCATTGAGTAATGATGAACTAATCTGTTTGTCTATCTAATTTCATGATATTGTTTAATTTAGAAAGAAGAATGTTTAATAATAATGTGAATTTATAAAAAAAAGCAATGATTGATTTTTTTAAGTTTATTTATAATTAGAGAATGATAATATACTATATAATACTAGAGAGGAGTGTAATTACTCCCAACAATTTTTAGCTTAAATACTACACGTTTATGAAAGATATTAATTGAAGTGAATATCTCATGATAAAAAAGTACGCTTGTGATAGAAATAATTATAATTAGGAAGTAAGAAAAAATCGCTATACTCATGGACATTTGCAAGATTGTATTAAAAAAATATGCTATAAATAAAGATTGATCAAGGCTGTCACAGAAAGTGAATTTTGAAATTCCTTGATTATTTCAGATTTTCTAAATGAAAATAGAGTTTTCCATAACTAATATAAAATAAGTAAGTTTTAACACACACGCACGCGCACGCATATAAAATATGTTCAGATAATAATTTTAAGATTTAAAAAGCTCTATTTATTGATTTTATCAATTTGACTTTGGATGGCATTGCCAAGATCAGATCAAGGTCACATCGATTTCTTCAAATCGGAATCCCTTTTTATTGCAAGTTCTTGTAGCTTATCTCGAGAGCTTTCAAAACATATGACAAAATATTTTTTCATTAAATATTTTTTGAAGACTTGAAAATTACAGTACTGAAATTAACATTATTTAAGGTATTCGATTGATGATTAAAACTTTTTTAAATATTGTTCAGGAACATGATTTTGACATCATATATTAAGATCAAGACTTTCGGAAATTGTTCCTTTTATTTTCATTTTTACACTAAAAATGAAAAAAAAAGAGGTTTAGCTTCTCAAAGTCAAACTGATAAGATTAGTAAAAAGATCTTTTTAAACCCTAAAACTATTACCTGAACATATATTTAATTAGCCTATAGAAATAAAAGGGGTGTAGAAATAAAACGGGTGTCTGGAACACTCTGTATAATATTTAAAATATTATAAGTTATTTGGAATAAAAGAGCAGTTAAGAAAATTGTGAGCAAAGTCCAAAAAAATTCTAGACTTATATTTTTCCCTTTTCCCTTTTTCTGATTTTCAACGGCCAATTTTAATTTTTCTAAATTACGAACAATAAAGGGGGCATATGAGTCAAGAGCGATAAATAATGCACAATAAACAATTTCTTATTTAATAATCGAATTATTAAATTTAATAATTGAATTATATTCGGTTATATATGTTACATTTTACATGTTTCAGCTTGTTTTCAGAGAGCCTTTTTCAGAGAGAATCCAACAACGATAGTAAATATTTTACATTATTAATTTTCCGTTGATATACAATGCGTTACTTGCGTCTTTCGGTTGTTTCTTAATTCTTGAACAATTAGAAAGTTACCTTGGAACGCTATATAGTCTTTCTCGAAAGTTAATCGACCGGATGAAAATTGAAATGCTACTTTTATGAAATAAATATAAATGGGGGGAATAACTGTAACAGTTACAATTGTGATGAAAGTTAATCATAAGCATTAGAGATGTTATTATACAATACCTCATGTAAGTATTGTGCATTAGTGTAACTTTAGAACATATATTATGAAAGAAATTGAAATTGCCTATGCTATCCATATAAAACGCGAAGACATGTGCGCGAGAAAAAAAAAAGAGGGTCCTAAATGTTCGCAATGTGCATGCATCAGTATTGTTGTCTGTGTGAATTATACAGTTGTTTTAGCGTTTCTTATATAGTATTGTTGTTTTATCAATGTTAAGGCGATGACATACAAAAAAACTTAAGGCAGTAAGACATAAGCAGTAAGGAAATCAACATGTGGATTGACTACTGTTTATATTATAGTCTTAAGCACTCTACTATGATTGGATTGATCAATTCGCTTATGTTTTAATGCTTAAGTTTTTTGTTTGTATTGGCTGTTAGTTCAGAAGCTTAGTTTTAGATTATATATTTTAGACAAAATGGTAATAAAACTTAGGTCCGATTGTTCCACTTTTTGGTAAATTTTACCTGTTGGGTAAGTAGCAAAATTACC